GAGCCGAACACGAGCTGAGCATGGCTCGCTTGTGTTCGGCTCGTTTACACCCCTAGTTCATCGCATGTAAAAGGGTCTTTTTGACTCTTCTCTCGAGACTTATACTCTATAAGAAGATTTCTCACTACTTTTCTCTTGTAACCATTTAGTTACAAAACATATGAAATGACTCAGAGAATCCGGGAATATCTCAGTTTCCTTCTACGAGGCAACTCTATGTTTGCTCTTTTATTTCTTTCTCCCCCTCTCTCTACTTCTTCCTTAAGGTATCTACCGCTCTTTGTTATGAACTATACCAGTTGATGATAACAAAGAATAGAACGAGAAAGATCACACCAGAAAAGAACACACTGATTTACATGGTTCGGCAAATTGCTTATATCCACGGAGTTGCGGAGCATTTTACTACTTGAGGAATTTATACAAGTCAATTACCTAGACTTACAAGAGGAATCTCTCACTCTTCGTTGCTCTCTCTCTTCTTCTCACTTTGAAGATCTCTTGAAATATTCTGAGTTCATTTTGTCTTATCATATTGTTTCATTAATCATCTGAGGTTAAAGTCTGACTACCACGCTGCTCAGTGAAACTTGACAGTTTAATTATCCCCAGGATAGGATAATCGATTAATCAATTGATGTTTCATTTAAGAGTTATGTGAGTGGATGCCCCTAAGGCAAGCTTAGGTCATTTAAAGATTAGATACCCAAAATTAAGGTCAGGCGTGTAGTGTTTAAGGATGTTAATCACCCATCATATTATTTTCTAAATCTGATCAATTGAGTTTAGACATCGAGCCTATGTCACTACTAAGCCCTTAACAATCATGATAGATAGGTGAAATGGTGATTATCAAAATTTTGATTTAAATGATGTGTTTTCTTATCAAATTGTCAAACCATCCTCAACTTTGGGCTTAAGAAAAGTAAATTTCCATCTTTCCAACTTAAGTCTATCACTTAAGAATCGTTCGATCTTAGTTGACTTCCAAGTCATGAAAATTAGGAGATTTATAAACTTGTTGACTTGTTGACATTGTGCAAAGGTGACATTGTGCAAAGGTAGTGAGTGGGTTTCTATCTTTTAATATTATTGTATTTCAATCACCCGAACATGCTTATTAAGATCAAAATTACTCATTTTCTCTAGTTAATCCTAAATTTTGATGAAGGCACCAAAGTCTAAAATGACTATTTTGCCCTTGGGGCACTGCACCTCATAATTCATTAAACACAACTCAAATGACTTTGAGCATTTAGAGTATCATATCCATGAGGTAATTACAATGTTTAGAGGAGAATATGTGGACCTCTCAAAATTTAATTTAATTTAATTAATTATTTAAATTTAGAAAATAAGATTTTTAGAAATTAATTTATTTGGCTTCCCAAGATAAAGTTTTTATTCATGAGAAAATTATTAGAAGTTTTCCTAAGTCAGAGAAAAATTTAGGCAAAATTTCATGGTCCTTTGAATTAATTTATTATATTTAATTTAGTGGGAAAATGAGGAAAATCCACTTTTAAGCCTTAAAAATTTGTTTTTAACTTAGAAAAAATTAAGAAAAATATTTTGATGAGCCCCAAGTGAAAAGAGAAAAATTAGGCACATTTTTAAATATTTTTGACATTTTTGGGATTTTTATTTATTTTAATTATTTTAAATTCAAAATAAGCCTAAAAAATCAAGTATTTTACTAAAAATAACTTTTATTTTTCCTAAGTGCCCTTGATCACAAGGAACTCAGAAAACCACTTTTCATAATTTTTCCAAGTGTATTTAATTTATTATAATTATTTTTGTACACAAATACAAGATTTCCTTGAAAATCAACTTTAGTATTTAAACTTAACCAAATAATTTTCAAATTTTTGCAGTGAATAGACATGCTTTTTATGAACAATGTGGGATTGATTCTGTCAATTTTCTATGAGTATTTAATTTACATAAATTAATACAAAATATTTGCACTTAATTAAATTTAGAAATTTAGAAATTCACAAAGTAATTCAAAGCATCAAAATATTTTTCTTTGAGTTTTCTGTCCACAAGAAACCTACCAAAATTATTCTCATAATTTTCCAAGTGATATTTTGGTTTATGTAATTAAAATAAGCCAAAATAGTCACTCTAGCTTGAAAATTAGGGATATAAGTGTAGAGATGTCCTCTGACCTTGAAAAAATCAGAGAGCACCCCCTCTATGATGAAGAATGAACCTTAACAGTTTCAAGCCATGGTGAGCAATATCTAATCATGGATAATTAAAATACCACATAGGGTATTTAATTCATTAAAAATCATATGCTTGCCAATTAATTTTTATTTTTAGTCCACATTATTCTCTTCTGTTCACTGAGCAAGATGATATTTTTCTTTTATTTTTATGATTTTTCTAGAGAAATATATGAATTTTTGAAGTTTAGGTATTTAAAATAATTTAGAAAATTCATATTTTTCTACTTATCCATGTGACGCCACTTCAACCTACGGCGGCTCCGAACTCACACGCGGCGTGCTCCCAAACGTTGCACCCAATCGTTGCACTTTCCAACTTGGCATGCAACGCGGCCCACCTTCTCGCACTGAGATTTGATCCGACTCGATCTCCTCTGTCCATTGGATACACGTGCGATCGAACGGCTCTCCGTTATCGTCCCTAAGTGACCTAACCCGTAAGTCATTCACACTAAAATCTTAAGATCTCGAGCTAGACTCAACCAAATCGCATGGGGTTTGTTTCTAAATCTTTATCTACTCAAGACGAACACATCTATACAGTTAATCAAGTATGAAATCAAGCCATTGCAAATGGAGAATCAAAATAAGCTCGGGCTAGGGTTAGAGCTCAATACCTTTGTCTGAGAGGAGGGGTCTCAATCAGATGGTTGTGGTAGCTTCGATTGTGTCCAACGAACCTCCAGATGAAGTCTCAAGCCCTGGTGAATTGTCAAGATATGAATTCGATCAACGTGAATTTCAGGTGTTGGTCTAGAGCTAGGTTAGAGGCTGTTTGAGAGGGGGCTTTTATAAGGATTCAACTTCTCTTGCCCTAGGAATGGTGTGTGCACAAGCAGTTTGATTTTGGTGGATTGTGGAGCTATGGAGAATTTTGTCCTTGTTTTGGGCAAAAATTTGAGCTCAAAATTGGGCTTTCACTATGGGGATCAGTGGGGGAAAATGGTGGCAATGAGCTCAGGAGTTCTTGGAGAGTGTCTAAGAGCAATTGGACAGAGTTTCCCCAAAGATTTGGCACACTTCATGTATTGCCCATGAGAGGGTTGGTTTAAATAAACTGCTTTAGGGTGGTTGTCAGGGCCTAAATTCAGGTTCAAATTAGTGCTTAGGTGGAGGGCTGAGAAGCTCTAAAGATCAATTATGGTGAGCTGGCCCCCAATGTTGAAAGTGGGTTTGATTTAGGGGTGGTGGCCCTCATTTTTGGAGTTTTCCGGCCACTAGGCCGGCCGGCAGAGCCAAGCGTGGTGGCCAGAGGGTCAGGTGAGCCAGTGGGAGGGTTAATTATGATTAACCCTCAATGGCAAATGATGAT